TTTTTTTAAAGGTTTTAACCCCCCCCCCCCCACTCCGAAACTAAGATCCAAATCCTAGAGGCACACCCTACCTTAACTTGGGTTGTATAATTCCTCTGAACTCATTTTTTTATATTGAGGCACCATTTTCCATTTTTACTGACATGGAACTTTTAACCAAGTGAAGTGGTTTGTGTGTATAACACGCACCTCCACGTATATAAATATATTTTAGAAAATATCTCATAATCCAATCTTTCGTTACTCAAAGCCATCTCGTGTGTAAATCGAAAATTTTGGAAATACAGTGCCAAATTTAAAAATTTGAGCACATAAAAAATTGGCTTAGTTTAAAAAATTGACCTCGCTGACATCAACCCGCCATAGCGGGAAACCTCCCGATATGGCGCCGCTGCTATAATACCTGCATAGCCGCTATAGCAGGCTAACGAAAATCAAACCCTAGTTAATACAAGGTCTTTTTTCCTCCTACTTTTCAAGGGAGAATATAGAAGAGGACTGGTCCAAACACCCTCTGAAGGCACCCAAGAAATTGGAGCAATGGATAGGAGAGATTTCAGTGCAATGGAGGTGAAAATCCAAGGAATTCTAGTCCTTGTTTATCATGGTTTGCTTTGATAGAGCCAAAAGCTAATAGCCAAGGTCCTCTAGCAATTGCTTAATGCCCATGTAGGCTAGGGTTTCTTTAACTAAGTAGTTAGATCCATTTTTACTTACATTATATCTTATGTTTTGTCAAATATTGCATGCATAGGCATTTTGGCACGTATTCTAGATGACTGATTATGTGGCTATTGGTGGTTAGACTGATGATGATTTCAGTGAATTGTAGTTTTTTTTATGAGGTTGTGAGGTGTTGTCCTGGGGAAGGTGATTGTAGGTGAATGATGATAATCTTAAATGGTCTAGAAGGATACCTTAGGTAGGTGATGGTTGTTGTTTCCCATAGTATGTAATGTGCTCATGTTAACTGCTTTATTGTGTTACTGTGGAATGCATGTGCGGAAAATAGAAGGTTAATGTGAAATGATCTTGTTTAGTAATCTCACGTAATGAACATGTTTATTTACTTTTGGTTTTAAAGGGGTTCATTGTGATTGTGAGTCTGTATTATGTTTGTGATTGATGGTTATCTTAGGTACCATATCGGTACAAGAATATTAATAGTTTGCTCGGGTACCACGCCTAGTATGAATATATACACAGGTTGGCTCATGTAATGTACACTAACCGTTTGTTTGTTGGTCCCATGAGATGTCCAGGTGTGTGAATTTGTGATCATGTTGGACATGTTTTATGCACTGGTATTTCAAGGATTGTAATTGGTAATCTACATTATGTTATAATGGATGGTATATGTATTAGCTAGTGTTATTGTTCTATTGTTACATGTGTATACTCTTGTTTAGTTTTGCATATCAAGTGAGGGTGAGGATTGGGATTCCAAGCTATGTTGTACTTGTTATTCTAGTTATATGTGATGTCTTTTGCTAAGTTGTGGTTATTAGGAAAATCTGAAGACCGAGAGTTTTAGTGTATTGCTAAATGTTGGGACTAGTTATGGGTTGTTTAGTATTCATAACATAATTGGTAAGGGGAATTTATGTGTGGCTTACTAAGATGGGTCAAGGGCCAGAGTGTTGGCATGAGAACCTGAGTGAGAATAGTAGGTTGGTTAGTAGAGTTGGTAGTGGTCTTATATTTGGGAAATATCAGTGGAATAAAATGGTTAGGTTATGATGTGTAATAAGGGCGGCACAAAAGGTAGGGTTTAGAAGCCTTATAAGGGAGAAAGGGTTGAATGTTTAATGGTAGAGTTGGTAGTGGAAGAAGGCAGGACTTGAGATAGAGCATAAGGGTTCCAAGTAATAGTGTTTGTGGTAAGGGTCGTAATTGAAGATTCAGGTTTCTAAGTTTTATATTGAAGTTGCGTGTTTGTTTGATTATCCACATGATATTATGTGGTGGGTGTGGGTCGACCGATGAGGCCTACCAGTAAGTATTGTTTGTACTGATACAACTCTTTCTATATGTGACTTGACATAGTCTGGTTGCAGGACTTAGTGATGTTGTGTTGTATTTTCTTTTATTTAATGTATCTCTTTGGTAGCTCTTCTACCTAATTAGACTAGTTCTTTCGGAGGATTTTTTGGTTAGTTCTTAAAAGATGTTTTTTTCTATTTTTGAGTTTCATGACTATTCAATTGTATTGAAGAAATTCCTTATGTTTTATTTATTTCTACAATGCCCACTTTAAAATTGAGTGGTATGGGTTCTCCTATCTGGGGGTTAGAGTATATGTCCGCACGGTCGATGGATTGGGTCATGACAATTTGTTGTTAGAGCCCATGTTATCGGTCTCCAAGTACAAGTGCAAATGTCTAATAGAGTTCTAAGGATTGACGTGTTGATTTCCACATTAAATCTTTAGGGGGCTATGAGGCATTCTAGGAAATTGTCCCACTTCTTCACTTTTTTCGTGTGTTCTATCGTATGTGGTATGAGTTGAGTTCAATTTGTATATCTAGATTCCAATTGGTATCAAAATGAGGTAAACTGGACTTCATTGTCATGGCTGAAAGGACATAACCAACAAGGTGTTTTGGCCTTAAGGATCACGAGAATGCATGGATGGTCAGTTAGTGGTAATCCATGACGCGTATAGCAAATAATGAACTTGATCGATTTGGTGATAAATTTTAATGGATGTTATTATTCGCATTGCATTACTTGAGTATCTCCCTATGTGAAAAGTGTAAGTTTCCTAGAAATTGTGAGATGAATTAATATTAAATTGTTGTGTCATTGGTTGGAAGTGTTGTGTTTAAATGGCATGGACTTGCCATTGGTAAAAATGGTAAGAGAGGGGGATAAATGGTAATTGTACGGGAACTCTAGTATCGAAATAGTTAATATTGGTTTGGAACCTGGGAAAAAGTGGGTTACTTTTGTGTGATAGTGGGTATATGATAATATAAACTTGTGTGTCGACATTATTCAAAATTTATTTATGTGAGAATATGGTGTAAGTGCCTAATTATGTATGTGTATGTTCCAGAAAAATACTTGTGTCTGGGAACAATCTTGGGGTTGTGTGACTCAATGGTTATGTGTTTTTAGAGTTGGTATATAATTGGGAATTGGGAGCATTGCTCAATTTTTCGAATTCTGGGTTGAGGCTTGTCAGAGACGCCATAGAAAAATTCTATAGTGCTCCCACTATGGCAGAACATTCCACGACATAGTGAAAGACACCATAGTGGTGCTCAGGCGATATAGCGGGCAACCATAATAGCTGTGCCGACCTCTATAGCAGGCAGCCACAATAGCTAGCGCCGGCCGCGATAGCGAGAATGGAGAATTAGAGACTACACTATGTTTTTACCTTACTTTTGCCTTTCTTTTCCAACCAATTCTATCACATGTTCAATATATATCCACGCAGAAAACAACAAAAATATCTTCTAGAACAATCCTAGCATAGAATACTGGATTAAATATCCCAAAAACCAGCATCTATTTCTATCAAAAACAATGAAAAGCAAAAAAGGTGTCTTATCCAAATGGGGAAAGCCCGAAACAAAGTATCAACTTATCTAAAGGGGAGTTCTAATTTTGTGCTTGATAACCATCATGGAGAGGAATCTCCTGCCTTGGCCTCGCTCATAAAAGACAACTCTTGTAGGTCCTTTGGAGAGATTAAGCTAAACATGGCCTTCATGGTCTTCCACATACGGGCAAGCAGACGGTCATGAGAAGGCCCTCTCCTCCTCTCAACATCAAGCTCCCTGTGGAGCATGGTTATGTCCATGGAAGAAGCAGGTTGGGCTAAGGATCTAGAAGGAGTAACCTTCATGGACATAGAGATTGCAGCCATATCCTCCTCAAAACGGACGCTAGATATTGATGGTTAAGACCGGGTAGTAGGGGCAGAAAAGTCCTCATCATCCTATAGGTTTGTTGCAGCCTGGCTGCTCCCCGCCTCACCTTTGTTTATCTTCTTTGACACTCAGTTGGGATTTTGAACTTACCATCATTCTCCACCTTGAAATCTATATCATCCGGAGCATCACATGCTCGTCTACAATTCGAAGATACTAGGCTGGGAAGAAAAGGGACTTCTTGTTGTCCCGATAGAAATCCTTCCACTAAGACACAATATCCCCCACCTCCCAATTTTACTAAGATTCCTCGTATAATGCAAGCCACCACTAATGCTAAGGTATAAGTCATGTTAGAGAGATTGTACGATGAACAGATCCACCGACCAACCATTTCCACCACCTCTGAGCATTAGGTGAAAAGTAGTGGCTGGTAAGGCCTTCGGTAGTAGGC